AATTAAGCTCCACACTCATGAAATAGATGGCAAAGTTCAAGTTTCAAAGAGGAAACCACAGTTGCAGGTAAAACCTGCTGACTAGGCAGGTGTTGCCTTTCTTCATTTACAGCTCTGGCAGCTTGGCCCTGTAGCACTAGTAGGTGTGGAATAGGGTGTGTGCATATGGTCTGTTTACTGTGTACAACCTCTGGAAAAGAATACCTGCATAATCTTATTAAGGCTCTGTGTTTGTTTTGTATGTTTTGTATCAAATGGAAGTAGTAAAATTGGTTAGCTAGCAGTTTTACGAAGTCTACCTCAGTTCTGTTTTTATGGTACATTCTGTTGCTCTTCAGGTTTATTTGAATGAACCCTGTGTGGCTTATTAATGTAACATTGCATTGCAAAATCCAGAAAAGCCTGTTACTGTAGTGCTACCAAACATGAACTGACTTGCTGTGTGACAGCTTCTCAGGATTCCTGTTTACAGTTTTTTGTTTCTGTAGCCACTTTTGCTATGTTTACCCTTACAGCACCATTGGTATGGAGTTTAAAAAACTCCATTCTTTCAATTTGACCAGAAGGTGTGCGGGGGAAGACTTTCCAGTTTTGTTGCATTCTTGCAGCAGAAAATTCCTGGCAAACATGAGGAGGCAGAGGGTAGTAGCATTTTCTGAATAGGCATTTATCCCATCCTCCTTAAATATCAATACACAAACATACAGAACTTGTGTAGTTGATGTCTGCAAAAACTGCTGAACAGACATTTTGGGGTTTCTTCACTCCTGCTGTAAAGGAATGATAAGTCACTTATCCTTTCTCCAGAACTGTTAGACATACTGACTGTCACTGTCAAAGGTTATTGCACTTAACTTAGACAGTATTAACACCAGTTACTAAAAGAGCAATATATAATCATGAATAGAAGTGCCAAGGATCATGCTGAGTAATAGACTCTGTGGTTCTATTTAAAGAAAAATGGCACCTTAAGTGCTGTATGATTAAACCTTGTAAATACTGTGCTTTTGAATTGAGATGCAGCATTTGCAGTGGGGAGAAAGTTTGAAGTTCTGTCATTTTTTAAGACTACCAAATTGCAGTAACTACTTAACTGTTGATTGGTAACATTAATTCTCAAATTTTGCAGAGCATAAAATATTCAGTGGCTTCTAAGAAGTTCTGCATAGTTGCTTATCTTAGCTTGTAATAATATTACATTATTGACATATATCTGACAAGATATAAAAGCTTCTGTATAATTTATATGAAAGTAGGGCATTCTACCTAAAACAGAGTCTGGTATAAGGAAAATTAGACAAGTATGAAATCAACAACAACAACAACAACCTTAAGATTGTTTTTCATTGTATGGAACGCCTCCTCCAGTTAGTGGGGGGTTTTGTTTGTTTGGTTTGGATTAATTTATTTTAGTTTTATTTTAATTTTCTAACTTTTAAATATTTTTATTAATTAGATGAGCTCTAGTATTCTGCAATATTCACTGTAAAAAAATATTTGAGAACTTACTATTATCCCCTCAAGAAATCCTTTAGGGGTAAAGAACTGCTCTTGCCAAAGGGTTGTTGGTTCTTCCTTATTATTTAGCTTCACTGTTCTTTCATAGTTTGGTATCCCTCTTTACCTTAAGCTTAGGACTATAAAAGGAAGGTTAGCAAAGAGATTCCTCAACAGGTTCAGGTGTTGTTTCCTTCCAAAACCTTGTCTCTGTGCTTCTCTCATTTGCTTTACATTTCCATAACCATCTAGAAAATGGCTTTTAGGGTTTGGGAGGTTTTGTTATTGTTTGTTTGTTTTTCAATTTGATTTTGTCTTTTGTATTTATATTTAATTATGTTTGAACTTTCATTTGTTTAATCCCTGTTGATGTTTAACATATATAGTTTTAATCAGACTTGTAAATATTGATTTTTCTTCTTAATGACATTCCTTTCACTGGAATCTTGTTAATAAGTTGAGTATTTAAGTTCCCATGGCTTCCTAGTGTGATCATTAATCATGCAGGTAGCAGGCCTTTTGTCTTCCCCTAGTTATATATCCTGTAATTGCTATGAGTTGATCTTAAAATTGTTGAATGTGTTGCACAGAGCTCGTATTTTCATATTCTTATCATATTTGTAATTATTTAATGCATTTAGTTCAGTATCACAAGTTTTGTATCCTCTCTTTGTTTTCCCTTTAGCACTCCATTCTCATAGGAATATGAGGATGCCATGAAATAAGGTTTCCATTATCTTTGACTTGCCATCCCACGTCAAGGGAATCAAGTTCGTTGCATTTCTCAAAGATGAACATTACAAATGCTCTTGAATGAATCATAAAAATAATACTTTAGTATTTTGAGTAATAATCAAAAGCATTGAAACACCAAACTCTTGTTTTTTATAAGAACTGGGGCTTATTAGCATGTTGAAGATAAGTTTAGGTGTTGTCTGTGTCTTTACCTGCTGCATACCTAAATGAGCTTTCCCTTCTCATATGAAACCCATATGTGGTTTTCATGCCTCACTAACTGAATTTTCCCCTCAAGTTCCACTGGGTCTGAAAGAAAGGTAAATTGCTAAATTTTAATTAGCCAAACCTGGGTCAAGCATAAATGAATTTATGAAAAAAATAATTGAGAAACGAAGTCCTTTACCTCAGAATTCCAGTTCTTCCCCCTGTGCAGGTAAATCAAACCTCTGAACTACCTTCTAACTCTTTGATGGCTTCTTCAGACAACATTATTTCACTGTATTGGTGTGCTGACTTTGACATCTTATGCTTGGTAGTAGTAGAAGTAAGCTGGTGTTATACAGTGTATATAATGATTAACCTGTGGTAGCTCCAGAATGTCTACCTGCTGACTTGTTCCAGGCACCAAGGGCTCAAAACTCTCCTCATTTGTAAATGCTGTTGAATTTGGAAAATGTTTTGACTCACATTTACTGCTGTCATGTGATTTACTTCACTAAACAAAATAATGAAAAATTCTTGATGATTTTAGAGACTTGTTTCACACAGGTTGTTTAGTTGTACTTCTTCTCATTGTGTGAAAAGCTTGCAGACATCTTAAAAAAATTGATGATCTACTGTCCTTTCTAAACTACTCCAGAACAAATTATTTTATTATTATTATTTCTTCCAGTCATGTTTGGAGCTTTTCTAAGCCAAAAAAAAAAAGATTGCAGTCCAAAGTGTGAACTTTGCAGTTTTTTAATAATTGCATTAATGTAATCTGTAGTACCTGATAAGGAAAATTTAGTTAATAAACTAATTTATGTAAGCAGAGTAACCAGTTTTGCATAATAGATTTTCCAAGGAGGAATTAATACTCATCACTATATGTACTGCATGCAGTTAGCCCCCTTCCTTCATTTTGCAAGGGAGAACACTGCTGGAATCCAAAATAGTGCAAACTCCATGCAAAATAAATGCTAGCTGGGTATATAAAAAGTACTCAACACTGAACACTTTGATGGTTCTAGAGTGCACACTGCTGGTTTAAAGGAAGATAGCTTACTGAACTGAAGAGAATAAATTTTCTTTAGGTAAGTTTTTCTATGCTTAGGGAAATTTTGTTATGAAAGGAAACATGACTTAAGGAATTTACTTGTTTATATGAGATCTAGGTAGAACCAAGGTTCAGAAATCCAGTGAAATTTTATACAGGTGCTTAGTCCCAGAAGAATACAAGCTGTGCTGTTGTTTTGGTTTTAGTTCATTATGCCCTTGTAATTTGTAGCTTTTTTCACTTGGAACCATCCCGGACTTAACTGACTAGCTAAATATGGTGAATAACTAGAAAACTACTAAAAACCTTCTAAATAGTGAAGGTGTCCTCACCACATTTCACTGGTATCTGCAAGGTTTGCCTGTTATGTGAACTGTAAGTACAGGAAGCAGTGTTTTCAAAATGCTTATGTAAGAGAGTGGCATGCCACAGGCCACGGACCACCACCAGCAAGGTGGGAGCAGTGTTCTGAATAAAATGGGTGGTTTCTGCAGAAACACTTTGTCGACCAGCAACACACTCTGAAGACATTGTTTTCCTTGCAACTTATTCTTCCGCATGCTGATTAGCACAATGGCAAATTACAGTGAGGCTGGCAGCTGCGTTGGAAACTGCCTGGATACAAGACAAGGGTCAGCATGACCTGCCAGAAAGTGTGACGTCCCGTCATGTGTGTGAGAAGAATTTGTATTTTCCTGCCTTTAAACAGCTTCTCACATTTTTTTTTGTGAATCTTTCTGTTGCTTTGGGCATCTTTAGGCGTGCACTGATCATTTGGGGTATTTTTAGGAAGTGTAAATAATAGCAGAGGCATACTTTGAATTTTCCTTCTAGCAGCAGCAAAAGGGCCAGCAGTTCACATCACGTGGCTGCTGCTTCAAGTATACATCTATTCTAGTAACATTTTCCCACCCAAACATAGCATCCCGGCGCCCTGTGGAGACCATGTGCTTTTTGGAGTCTGGGTCACCCTGACACTGAGGCACTGGAAATTTAACCACATAGCCTCTGCCCTTTGCTTAATTCTTGTGCTGCTAGTCCTTGGTCACAGTGACAACACAGAAATTTAAGCCACCGTAACTTTACGGGGCAAACAGCTGAGGTGGCACATCCGAGTTGTCCATCTGTGGAAATCGTGGTAAGGGAAACAGGAAAAAGGAAGGAAAACGAGGAAAAACTCTTGTTCTCTGAAGTGATTGTAAGATTTTGACACTGATGTGCCGCTGGTTGACACAGTTTGCTCACCTATGTTTTGCGCGGGTTCTGATGTTTTTTATGAACAAACGGCTGACGATGGAGCGGAGGTATCAGTGGAAACTACAGGGGAGGGGGGCTGCTCCCTCCCATGGGACAGCGCTCGGACCGAGCTGCCTGTGCTCGGCAGCCGCGGGGCGGCTGGACAGCTCTCCCGGGTCCCGGACGGAGCCGGCTGCTGAGGGGAGAGCGGAGGCGCTCAACTCTCCGGCCCCCCTCAAGTCAGCAGCCCCGCCTCGGGCGCACCGACGTCAGCGCACGTCAGGGCCGAGCCCCTCGCCTTTCCTCCGCCCGCGGGTTCCGCTGTCCCGCCGCTTCTGTTCCCCGTGTCCCGCATTGTGCTCCCGCAGCCACCGCCTCAGCCCGGCCCGGCCCCGGACCCCGCTCCTCGACAGCCACGCAGCGCGAAGATGGCGGCTTTCAAATTCCTCCTGCCGCCCCTCGGCCGCCGCATCCTCCTCCCCGCAGCGCGCAGGGCTGAGGTAGGGGCGAGGGGCGGCGGGAAAGGCGGGTCCGAGCCCCTCCGCCTCGTCCTGCCCGCCGGGTGACCTTGGCGGGGACCCGGCTCGCCGGGATCGGCGTGTGTGGCGGGGGGTAGCCGAGCCCCGGGGTGGCGGCCGCCCTGCGGCCCCGGAGGAGTCGCTTCCCGCCCCGAGGGAAAGCGATGGCTTTGTTCTTGAGGGGCTTTGTCCCGCGGCAGCCCCTCGGGGAGGAGGAGGGAGGGCTGAGCGCGGCCCCGCAGCAGGCCCGGGCCCGGCGGCTGGTGGGGATGCGGTGACCTTGAGAGGCTGGCACAGAGGGTTGGCTTTGAGGTTTTTTGGTCTTGTTTTTATATTTAATTTATTATTATTATTACTGTTCTTATTATTTTAGATCGCCATAACTTCAAAAGGCAGCACACTTGCAGTGTGCTACTGTATATTCCCATGTTGCTCTCATCGCCTCCTCTCCCGGAGGTGGGCAGCAGGTGTGCGCGGTTCGCTGGCAGCCCCGCCATCTACTGCTATCCATAAACGGATGCTGTGCAGCCATGCAGCTCCCTTCCCATGGGAAGCTTCTGCCAAATCTCACATATTTAATGGTTTCCAGCCCACATGTAACTAGAGCAAAATTATTTTTTTATGTCTTCAGCCAGAAGTGTCATTGTGGCTTTTCTTTATTTTACTTGAAAAAGCTCGCCTTCTTATGCCTGTGTTTACTACTACTGATATCTTTACGGTCAAATCTTAGCACTCTCAGATTTTGTTTTACTAAGTAATACTTTTGCTTTTCCAGATAACTAAATTCTGTTGATTATTCTAGGAAGGAGCTCATCTGTGCCCAGGTTACTTTCTTAAACCTGCCAGAATTGCTGCCAGTTCCTGAGGTCTTAGCCTACTGCCTTACTGCCTGGTGTGCAGGGAAGCATGGGTGATCCCTGGTGCTTCAAGCCCCTTAAAGCCCATTGCTCTCAAACAATGGGGTGGGTAGGAAAGAGAGTAGGAGAGGAACGTATTTAGGATAGAAGAGCAAGTACACTTGTTAGAGACATCCTACCTGCAAATGTACACTTGTTTAACACATACAGCTCTGTTCACCACTGTTGCACACAGTTGCACAGATTAAAGAAAAGGTACCACGTGGCCTCTGAAATATTTTCCTATGTGTGGGTACAGGGACACAGCAGAGGCCTGGCCTCCCGCCAGCCCTGGCCCTTCGGCCTTCTTGCAGTCCTGTAGTACTGTGATTCCCAAGGCTGCCAGTGCTTAATACTCCTCTGGACCTGCTCTGACAGGTCCATGTCAGACCTTCCTGTTCAGAGAATGCCAGCTCTGGATGCAGTGCTCCAGGTGGGTCTCAACAGAGCAGAGCAGAGGGGCAGAATCCCCTCCCTCCCCTGCTGCCCACGGGGCTCTGATGCAGCCCAGGACACGTTTGGCTCTCTGGGATGTGAGTGCCATGGCCAGGGCATGTCCAGCTTCTCACCCACCAGCAGCACCAATTGGTCAACAAGTTCCTCTCCCAGTCTGTACTCAGGCCTGATTTCCCCAATGCAGGCGCAGCACCAGCCTTTGGCCTTGTTGAACCCTATAAGATTCCTATGGGCCAGCTTGAGCTAGTCCAGGTCCCTCTGGATAGCATTGCATCCCTCAGAGTTATCAGTTGTACTGGTTAGCTTGGTGTCACCAACAAACTGGCTGAGCATATATAGTTGATTTCTCTTTGTCATTGAGAAATGACAACCCCTGAGAAGCACCATGCATCACCAATATCCATCAGGACTCTGAGCCATTGGCCACTTCCCTCTGGATGTGGCCATCCAACCTATTCCTCCACCATCCACCAAATCCATGCAATCAAATCCATCTCTCTCCAAACTGGAGAAAAGCATGTTGTGGGGGACTGTGTCAAAGGCTTTACAGAAGTGTGCAGGTGAATCTGTAGCCCTTCCCTTGTCCACAGATGTGGTCACTCTGTCACAGAAGGTCACTGGTATGATCAGGCAGGGATTGCCCTCACTGGCTGTCCTTGTACTAGCTGTCCTGAATCATCTCCCGATCCCCCCTGTGCCTTAGCACAACTTCTAGGAGGACCTGTGCCATGGCCTTCCCAGGCACAGAGGGGAGGTTGGCAGCTTGGTAGTTCCTGGGGTCCTCTTTTTTTACCCTTTTTATAAAGATGGGCACAATGTTTCCCTCAGGGAAGTCTCAAGGGACTGCACCTGAGTCCCTGACTTTTCAAGTACCATGGATCAGTGGAGAAACATTCATGGTATAATTTGGCATGCAGAAGGCTGTTGCAGTTTTTCTCACATGACATTGTTTCTTATGACCCATGTACTGATTTTTTATTGACCCTATCAAAGCAGAGGAACATCAGTGTCTCCACTGGGAAGGAGGTAAGCTTCCATACAGAAAGGTTTTCTTAATATTCAGTATAAACTCCTGCAGCTTAAATTATAAAAAGAGAACAGCTTGTGTAATATTGAAACAGAGCCAAAATTTGTTGCCCTGGCTATAACTGTAGGTAACTCTCAAGGTAATTCTTCAGGGAAGAATTGGACTATTGTCTTCAAAATGTGTAATTACCTTGTTTATTATTGTTTCTCCCTTTTTCACAATATAAATTTTTTCACTCTTTCTATCAAGCTAGGATTTGAAAGACCATTAGGTAGTACTTTAGCTTCCAGATTTTCTGAATTTATTGAGACTGTTTCAACGTAGTGACTTAGGTGTCAATTTTTTCTTCTGGTGCCTGAAGGAATATTTGATTATTTGTTGTAATGTGTGGTATTTGTAGGAAATACTTAAAGAGAAAAAGATGACCTAGGTACATAACAGTGCATACATAAGTTATGATGACTACTGTGTAGTGGCATTGCACTGTGAGGTCCAGGTTTGGGGGTGGGATTTGTATTGATTTCCCTCTTGCCCTCCGTATTTCTTGCATTTCTTGGAGTCTCCTTGATTCTGGGCTGTTCTTCAACAACATGAGGATCTCTAAGACTGCATTTGAAAGCTCCAAGATTGCACAAGGAAACTGGGGGAGGGTTCAGTCTGTGGAAGGGTGTCCCTGCTTACCATACTGCCAGCACAGTGCTGTCCTTCCTGTTGTTCTGTGGCTTCCACTGAAATTTTGTGGTGGTGGTGTTATCTTTCAGCAGTTTCTGTTTATGTCTAGTGTTGGGATGCCTTTGAAGCTCATGTAACAATATACAGGTTTAAGAAGTCTGTGGATGGCTCCAACTTGTGCTGAGGGATTGCATTTGTAGATATGTTTTCAGAAAGGCACCATTTGTCAGTAATTCAGGATGTAATTCTCTTGTTTCGGAGACCTGCACTGTACTTCCCTCCCTCCTCCCCCCTTCTCTCTATTCCCCCTCCCTCCCTCCCCGCTTAGTATTTAAAGTAGCAATATCTTTTTGTATCTGTTTTTCCCCTATCTAGCCAGAGGCATGGTCTTCATTACAAAACTACTGTATAATGCCTTTTGTTCATTCACTTGTTTCCTTTACTGTTGTTGCAGATTTGTGGATGCTATTTTTCTACCAGCTGTCATCGCAACACCAAATTTTACACTGATCCTGTTGAAGCTGTAAAAGATATACCCAATGGGGCAACTATACTTGTTGGTGGTAAATATTTAAATTCTTTGTGGATGCAATCATGTTATGTTAATGAGATACTTTTTACTCATTTATCTTGTTTCTTTTACTGTTAACTAATTTTAGAATCCATGAATTGAATGATTTTTTAAACAAGTGGTTTCCTACTCTGCTCATGAGAGGCGTACTCCTTCAGTCTGGAGAAAATCAAGGTTGTGTCATAGGGAAAGAGAAAGACTCAGAAAAATATTTTTCCTCACTAGCAAAAACTGGACTCTATTTGAATCCAGAAAATGAGCTTGGGAATTTTCAAGATAGCATTCTTATTTCTCATAGTGAACAAATACAATTTAGCTTGATTATTTCTCTATATCCTTTGACTGCCTTGTCTCTGGGCCTCTTTGACCTTGAACAAAGCCTGTTTCTGGGTTAGGAAATGAAGATAATACTTATCTGTGTTACACTTAATGCTTATGTGTGGTATTTCCAGAAGAGTCAAGAAGTTGCGTCATACTAACTTTCACTGTGACTTGAGCTTTTGGATATTGTAGATTGTAGCTTTCCACAATTTCATCCTGTTCAATTTGCATTTAAAAAAAGTGATTTATCTGTTTCTTAGGTTGTTCTAATATTTCAAAAGAAATGAACGTAACATTGTAAAACACTTCAGTGGAGATATGTAATGAGGCAAAACTCCTTCTGCAGGAATTTTTTTTTTTTTTGGTTGTTGTTATTGTTGCTATTTCATAAAGAAAAGATTTGAGACCAAGATAGGCTGGCCTTGATGATCTCAGGGGGTCTTTTAGAACCTAATTGATTCTGTCATTCTGTGAAAAAGTAATGCTTGTAGTGTGACGTGCTATTTCATTTTAGATGTATTTGTGCAGAAGTACATACTTTTAGGAGTCTTGCATAATAGGTGGGAATGTGAGGCTCTTGTGCCTTGGTAGAGATCTAGATTATTGTGATTCCAGGCAGATATTATCCCGAGTGTGTTCAGACTCCCAGTTGAACAATGTAATTACAGGCTAAGCTATGAGATGTGCAGCAAAGATAGGAAGGTTAAGTGGGTAGGAAGAGAAGGAGGAAAAATGAGTACAGGGTTGAGGACACACATAAGGAGAGCTGTGGTCATGGAGTCCTTTCCTAAAGGCCCGCTCTGATGGGTAAAGAGCTTTCATCCAAACTGGGAAGTGTCTCGTGAATGGGAGTACTAGAGGGCAACTCTATCTGGAAATGTTGATTTATTTAGTTGACTAAGGAGCTTGTTCTACTCAGAAAAGATTTTTTATTCCCATAGTTCTGAACATTCTATGTTCTTTCAAAGACTTGTTACATAAGCAATTTTCTTTTATTTTGTGTAGGTTTTGGATTGTGTGGGATTCCTGAAAACCTTATTGGGGGTTTACTGAAGACTGGAGTAAAGGGAATAACAGCAGTCAGTAACAATGCAGGGTAGGTATTCATATGTCTGTGTTTAATAAGTGCAGACTGAAGATTCCAATTATGTGAAAATGCTGATATATAAGAAAAAGATCTTTCTTTTCACCATCATAATTTTCATATAAACCAGACAGCTTGGTTTGAAACTGTTATTTTTGGAAGTAGCCCAGGAAGTTCAGTACTACATGTATGCTTGACTTCATCAGAGACCAGTTGTCATGCTGTAGAGGGTTGCAATTATATTACTATAAATATTTATATTTAAATTTTTGTGTATTTAACTGGTTGATTGTAACTGGAAAGTCTAACTTAGAGGCTTTAAATGTAGTATCAGTGATTTTGTGTGTATGTGTGTGTTTTTGTGAAGTTCCAAATAGGGATATATTTTTTAAACTCAGTTTGGTGCTTTCTGACCCTCTTTCTGTATTTCTGTAACTTTGTAAAAACTCCAAGCAACACAAGAACAGCAGAGAATATCTATGAAGAAAGGATGAAGAATCTGTTTAATGGGTCTTCAGATTTTTGATTTATATTTTTAAATGTTTGCCCCTTAAGAAATTAATGTGGGGCTGAAGTTGAGACTACTTCTTTCATGTATAATTTCTCATCTTCTCATTCAGGCTAAATTGTACACAAACTGTTTATTGTAGTAAACTCCATAATATGTAATGGTCTCCATATAGAGAGATAACTACAACCGCTTGTGTTGAAGTGCATTGATAAAAATATTAATGAAATCAAATAAAAATAGTAATATGCAAAACACTAATTGCACATTAATTGGATAATGAATTCTTTGTATTGGTATTTGATACATACACAGTCAAACTTAAGCTCTTTAGAATATTGTGGGAAACAATTTCTGCTGGATGATGAAAAGAAGACAGAAATAATTTTGTGTGGAAAGATCAAGCACTAGAGTAGACATCATTGATTTTCCTCATAGTCTTATTTCTGAATAACACATATATTCACAGATAGAGATATTGCATAGTTGTTGCTGAGGGGGAGGTGATAGTCTGAATATGAGAAAAAGTTGAAAGAGGAGCACTGTGGAATAGGATGAAAAAGGAGACATTTTGTATTGTATTCTGAATATAGTTGCTGACGTTATAGGTTAGAATTATTTTTTGTTGACATAATGTTGACTTTCCTGAAAGTTCTTTGGGTTTTGAGGTGGAAGTGATTTCTGTAAAACTCTTGGTTGCTGGCAGGAAAGCAAAATTTAATCCGTGTTTTCTTGAAACTAGTTTTGTATGAACATTCATAAAAGTCTGGAGATTTCTTCACAGAACAATGTAACAATTTGAAAATGCTCAAGGGCATCTAGAGGTTTTTCTAAAAGTCTAGTTTGTAAAAATACAAGTTTTACTCTCCTGTTGAATAGTATAATTTATTTTGAAATTTAATGAATAATGAAATAACTGCTTCACCTGTCTTTTTATTTACTGTATTACTAGTGTGTGGAACTTAGCCTGCTATGGTTTGATAGTGTTTAGGAACAAGGTTGAAACAAGGTGGAAACAAGACTGAAGGTTTATTTTTTATCAGAAATAAAGTCAGAATTCCCATGACAGCAATTGATACCATTTCTAATTTTCTAATTAGCCTGTCAAAATGCATACTTTTTTAATGCCACGCATCTTCTTAGCATCTTCTTAATACCATGTCCAAAAGTATAGTGGTATTATCAAATATTGCAAGACTACTAAATGCCTTTATAGCTGAAGTATCACAGCAATCATACACCCTACAGCAGTCAGTATTCAGTATGGTACAGTATTCAAAGGGTGAATTGTTCCTGTAATGTTGAGGTGTCAGGCACCTTCTGGGATGAGTAATTTGCCACTTTCAAATTGCCATATGGTTTAGTGTGCTTTTCTTTGGTGACCTTGTGCTGCAGTTGATGCCTGGCTGTGTTTCAGTTTCTTGACTGCAGGTGCTTTCTTTTCTCCAGCTCTTACAGCAAATAGGAGGTAATTGGTCAGGTTTTCTTCTTCTGCAGGGGTTAGCAGGCAGCTTGTAATTGGAGCAGTGAAGGAGCCAAGCGCACAGACAGCCTATTCTGGAGAGCAGTGCAGCTACATGGATTAAATCACATGCCTTTCAATATATGAGAACCACGGAGTGTTACAGAGCTGTCTGTTTATAACTAAAATAGCAGCAACGGAGACAGCAATTCGCTTACATCTAAGGGAAGGCAGTAATTAGGAAGTCCTGAAACATTCTTGCCAAATTTTCTAGCTGGGAACAAGGCTCGGCAGAGCCTAGAAATGCTTGGCAGTGTCTGGAAATAACTTTAAAGGACTAGGTTGTTCACAAGTTCACATCCTACTTACTGTTCTGTGCTGCAGTGTAATTGGGAGGAGAGTCCTGCTGCAGAAACTTGTTCAAAACATGTAATTTCTGTCAGGTGAAGTCTTGGTTTTGTCCCGTTCAAGGCTTTTCAGTGACAAGTTGTACAGTAGTGTATGGGGTGCTCTTTGTCTTTGAGACACTGCTCAGCTTACTGTCTGCTGCTGCACATTTTGCTCATGTTCATGCTGTGTGCTAGCTAGTGAAACAGCACCTTTAACAGCAGTTACTCTTTTGCCAAGCCAAACAAGGCAAAGTGTTTGAAAGTGAAGCAGTTCAAATATCCAGTACCTCTGGTATTTACACAACTTGCTGCAGGGGAAACTGAAGCTTGTGAACCAGGGCAATAGTGCAATATAACTGCAATAGATGGGTATACTTCTAAAATATGACCTCTCATACCTTCTCTTATAACTTGTTTTGCTTATATTGTTCATTGTGTAAATACTTTATTTACACTGTGTTTTTGTAAGCCCTTTAAATTGAGAGTATTCTCAGTAGGCTACCAAAAACCATTTTATAACAGATTATCTTCATTCTTGTTTTAATGTGGTTCGTTCCACATTTGCACATTTATATATAAAAATAATAAATAAATGAAAATTAATGAGTAGATAAATAAATAAATAAATAAATAGATAAAATCTTGTTTTAAGCATTGATTCAGTAAATTCCCAACACAGCTGTGATTAGTGTACTGTACCTTTTTGGCTGTTTTCTCATCTCCATGTGATTTCGTGTAGTATACTAATTTCAAGTTATTTGGAACCTGGAACTTGGATGGTTTGGCTCAGCCTTTGCTAAGACTTTTCTAATGCAGGCTACCTGTTGTTTCAGGACCTGTGTTGCAACAAAAACTATCAAAATAGCCAAATATTTTAAATGAAAGTAAAAAATGTGCATTGAATTATTTTTAATTAATTGTGCTTAATAAAATGGATAAATAATTTTGGCTATAATTACATACTGAAATCAAAATTTTCATTGTATCTACCACCTAAATAGGCTGAGTTTTGCAGAATGAAAATGAAGCCCATTATTTGTGATAGCTGTGTATGTGGTCTGATTGTTTTATTGAATTTGGGTTTTGTCTGCTTATGAGACTTAAAAATGCATCCTTTTTGAATGCAGTAGTGTTGAACAAAAGGTTTTCACTTACACTAAAAATAGAGAAGTTACAGTTAAGATCTTAATTGCTAATCACCTGGGTGATCATCTGACAGGAGATTGACAGCATCTGTCAGATTATCACTGATTCAGACTGTGTTCTTATAAGGCGTTACCAGCTTTTTGAACCTTTAGTATCTGTATTCTTTTTTAAGGTCTTTTAATGTTACAATGTTATACATTAGGAAGGAAAAGATGGCTTTGAGATAAGCTTTTGCACTTTTGAGCATGATGCCTGAATGCCATTACTTAGCTCTTTTAAGCATAATACTCTTGTTTTCCTAATGGGTTGGGCTATTTGTGGTTCCCAAATCCCTAAAATGCAGTACTCTATGGGATCAGATGCAGTAGTAAACTTATTGCACCCCATATTCTAAGGCACAATAGATGTCTATATTCTTTGCAATTAAATAATTTGGATTTAAGACAGGTTTGATAAATATTCTGTAAGTTAAAGTTTAAGGTTATCTGATTTTTCAGTCATTGCTCTGAATAGTATGTTTCTGTGAAAACCAGAATATATCTGCCATCTTTGCCATGGATTCTCTGGTTTTTCTTGCATGTAACTCACGTGGCTTAATTCTACAATTATTGTTACTAAAATATCTGTCTGTCTATCTGTTGTTCTGTCTGTCTTTATATTACTCACACTTATTAAAAACCTATTCAAATGTAAATGTGTATATGAAAAAATACCATCATGTGGAAATTGCATTTTAAATTCACAGAAGGTTATGAAGTTCTTCCATATAGTATTATGGAAGTATATGATACTTCTATATATATTCTACTATATATAGTATCATGGAAGTATATTATAATATTGTTTAAGTGGAACAAATTTGATAATTGTTGGATTCAGAAAGTTAAAATATAACTGAAAATGTCTGAGGAAACTTGCAAAGAGGCTTGTATGTACACAGAGATGGGATCAAGTGGACTCTCAGAGTATTTTACATTGTGTGTGTCATTTTTGTATATTCATAAGAAATTCTTCAAATATCCCAAATTAAATACTTTCAGAAATGAGAAACAAGGTCACCAGTGACTATTACTTCTCTTGGTATAGAGAGAAGAGTGGAGTTATGTAAAATCTTGCGCATGGCAAGTTGCCAAAATCAGGAGACTATATATTTCAGTGAATTTGAGTATTTCAGTTTGATTTTTTTTTTTTTAAAAATTCTGCATTCTTTAGAAAGGATTTAATCAGATGCTTTGTTACAGCTGTTAAATTGCTGGCACTGTGTGAACTACAAATCCCTGAAAATCTGCCTAGGTCATCTCGCTAATTTTAGTGTGGAGGTTATTTAGGATTTTGGCAGGGCAAATGTGTACTAACTTTGTACTGCCTGGAACTATGGAGAAATCAGCTGTGGAGATAAATTTCTTGTTGTGATGACAAATGAGAAAAAAATAGATATAGAACTCAGGATGGCTGAAGAATTGGTTATAGAATAGCAACAATGAAAGTTCTCCCTCCCTCCCTCCCT